AATAGATTATAATGGTATTTAGGTCTCTAGGTTGAATATTCATTATGTCTTGTATGGTGTAATATATATACATATTGTTGTGCTTCATATGCATCTCAGTATTGATGTAATTTCTACCATGTCCATCTTAAAAACTTTAAAATCTGAAAATATATAAGTATTATAAAATGAGTGAAATAGCCTGAAGCTCTAACCTGTCTAAAATAGCCATATTTACAGGAACTAGATTGTGTTTTGTTTTATCTACTCATATATAATATCAATTTTTACAAAGGTATACTGAATTCCATCTAGTACCTTAACTTCATTAGGCACTTTTAAAGGATTGGATTGTACACATGCTAATACAACCAATCAGAGCCCTCAACAGAAAGTTTCAACATGTATCTTATTTGAGTTTTTCTGTCAGTGGCTCTGATTTATCTTATGTGTATACCAGAATATATTGATTTGAATATGTATCAGTAACTATTTCAGTAATAGATGATTTGTTACCAGCTGAGAGTTTGTATACTACTCAAGGTGATGGTAGTGTTAGATTACGTATGACTGATAAAGGAGCTGGTTCAGAAGCACCACAAACTGTTGTCTCATTATTACAAACTACTGCTGAACGAATCCCTAATAATGCTGCTATATGTAAGTACTTCTGTTAATAGGGACAGAAACAGTGGTCACCATCTTGAATATTTAAGATTGATTAGTTTAATGGTGGAAAAAGCAGATTTTATTAAGATTATGATTATTGAACATAGTATAGCTATGCAAACATGTTCTGATAATGTTTACGAGTTATATCAACCACCTCCATTTGTCACAGCTTCAGTTCTAGGTAATTGAAAGAAGAAACCAGTTTTTTGCACGGACCAAATTTGTTAGAAAACAAACAAATTTCCTTGAAATTTTGGTTTGTGTATGGCTGTCATCCCAAAATAAGAAATTCTGAATTATCAAATTTATCTTGTTTTTAGGTGTTAAAAGAAATGATACCTGGCTTAGATGGACATACAAACAATATTATGATGATTCATGTAGGGCTGCCAAAAGTTTCATAAAGGTAAATAAAAAATGAATATACATACAAGAATTAACAAATTGGAAAGAGTTTTTCCTTTATTATTTCTGATGTAGCATCACCAAACAGGGGAGCGGTTTTGAGTTAAAAGCTTTCTTGCTAAACCTCATAGTCCAGGGTTCAATCCCAGCATTGCTTCATAATACCTTTAAGATTTTTCAACCCGGTTTCCCTTCGTTATTGAAGCCGGTCTGAGGGGCTGACATGGAAAAAGCGTCTAGTCATCTGAAGGAGTCAATAAACAAACAAATGTGCTAGAGACACTTTAAAGATACCTTGTCACATGGATATCGAAAAAGAGTAGATTAAAGCAGCTATCCTGGCAGAATTTACTTCATTGTAAACTGGATGGTGTTGACTTTCTTCATCAGCCCAATAGGAAAATACGACGTTAAGCTACATTTATTTCATTTTCTAATTGCAAATGATCAGACGTCTGGGATAATCACAGATGTCAAAGTGGAAATTGGCAATAGAACTATGTGTACAAAGACAAAAAACCCAGTAAAAACTAATAATTTATTTCAGGCAGGGTTAGAACCATATCATGGTGTAGGTATTATGGGTTTTAATAGTCCAGAATGGTTTCTAGCTGATATTGGTTGTATATTTGCTGGGTAAGTTTTCTGATCATACAGAAAAAAATACAAGTATAGCAAAGAGATTTGTTACTTTTTTCTTGTTAACCATTTGTTAGTTATGCTTTTAATCAAGACAAGCAATTACTCTTGTATATATAGTTAATATAACTACATATTATGTTCATGTATTTTCAGTGGCTTTGCTGTTGGAATCTATACAACAAACAATGCCGAAGCTTGTCAGTTTATAGCCGCTGACAGTAAAGCTCAAGTTATAGTTGTAGAAAATACAGCTTATTTAAAGAAAATTTTACAAGTGAAAGATCAATTACCAGATTTAAAAGCTATAGTTCAATATTCTGGTGAAATAGAAACACCACAAGATAATCTATACTCAGTAAGTCCAATTAATTAAAAATCAAAATGATTTGACATAATGTGATTATTGAACCCAAGGTTTTCATATCATATGTGAGATTTTTCAAAAAATTTGTGTTATTCACGAAAAGAATTGAAAAACTGCATACTGCATAGCCTTAAGTTGATCACATCAAAGTTATATTTGAGGTTTCCACCCTTGATATATGTCCACATTTTTTGCTAACTGTTTTGATTCTTTTGCTGTCAACTTTTATGTCTGTTTTTCTGTTTTTAGTGGGATGATTTTATGAAATTAGGAGATGATTTACCTGATTCTGCTCTTGAAGAAAGATTTAAAATTCTAGCACCAAATAAATGTTGTACTTTGATTTATACAGTAAGTTTTTCATTGGTTTTTATTTTCTTGGTTCATGGTGCCCAATATGTCTCTCTAATTGCATTGAGACATTGATATCTATATAGGAAACCAATGGAGAAAAGGCAAATTTTTCTCTTTGCACACTGTCCGTCATAGCCTAATGTTGTATAGAGGAGCATGATGTATAAATACAGATGAATTATATCTATTTCAGTCAGGTACTACTGGTAAACCAAAAGGTGTCATGTTGAGTCACGATAATGTAAGTAAATAGGCTTACTCTTACAAATCTAACTGAAATGAGACAGTTAGTTCAATATTCTGTAGGTTCTCTTCTGTCCTGCATGCAGTCTAAATACAATGGAAGCAATCCAATTAATCACATTGTCAAGCTATTTAAAAGCTTCTTTCTTGTAACATGGAAAACAGGAATTTGATTGATTTGAAATATACGGCCAATCAGATTTGGTAAGCATTATGGCTGATTTTTAACAGACTTTCTGTCAAGGCCTCTAATTGGCTGTATTTGTTAGATTACGATCCAATCAAATAGCTTGACATAGTGAAGATACTTTCGCAACCGAAAACTTTATTGTATTGCAATGTGATACTTGTATATGGTGTATAGAGGAATATCCACAAAGCTAGATAATTTTGTATAAAGATGGTATGTTTGGTAACTCCAATCAGACATGAAAAACTAATGAACAGGTTACAGAATAATATTTTTCTGTTTTAGGTAACATGGACTCCAGTAAATGCAGGACCTCTTGGTGGTTTATTATTTGGTGTTGAAAGATTAGTCAGTTATTTACCATTAAGTCATGTTGCTGCTCAACATCTTGATATATATTTACCTATTTATTTTGGTGCTACTGTATTTTTTGCTCAGCCAGATGCCTTAAAGGTGAGTGTGGAAAATATTGTAGAGTATACTTACTATTCTAGACACCTGATACCACTTTTCATTATGAAATATTTACTTATGATTGATATACCTCCTCATGTGAAAAGTTTATTAACTGCTACCGGTACCAATAATTCACCAATATGTTGTTCTGAAAATCGGGTTTTGTTTTGGGGTTTGTATCGTTAGTACTTGGTTTATTTATTCTTCAGTTTAAGCTTGTTTCAAACAGTTGTTGTAATAGTTGGTTGACTAAGGTAAAGAATGCTCACCTTCTGGTACACCTGATTGCACTATGCCACTGACTTCATCCATCTGCTGTCCCTCTGGAAGAAGGCCATATGGCTGATAAATCTACATGTATTTCATTATTTGGACTCCTTTACTTGTAGGGCTCTCTTTTGACAACCCTCAAAGAAGTTCGTCCAACAGGGTTTATGGGTGTACCTAGAGTTTGGGAAAAGATGATGGATAAATTGTTAGAAATTGGTCGAAACAATAAAGGTTTAAAACTGAAAATTGCTACATGGGCAAAGAGTATAGGTCTGAAGGGTAATAAGAATAAAATGAACAAGTAAGTACTATTTCGTATTTCATTTAAGATATGTTAAAGAATTTATCTCTTTTATGGTCAGTGTCATCTTCACAATGTTTTACAAATTTGCTATATCCACTATTAAATGCAGTGATTTGCAAATACAATCAATCAGAGCTCTCCACACAAAGACTGTGGGTCTTGCATGTGGGTTTGGTTGGAAAACAGGACCATGTTTAAAGATATATTACATGAATTTTCATTTGGAGTGTTGGGTGGTTTGTGTTTACCAGAATGCTATAGCTTAGTAAATACAATTGAATTTTATGATTTTCTTAGTGCTAGGAAAAAGGGTTGCTGGTAAAAATATTTTTAACTTTTGAATATTTGCATCAAATGGATGTGTCATCTTATTTCTTACAATCTCCTTTCTTTTTCTTATTCTTATTGCTGCATTTGTGATTATATGTCATTGTTTTCATATATTTTTCTTATTTCTCGAATTTATAAAAGAATGTTAGCCTACGCTTTAAAGCTTTCTTTTTTGTCAAATTCTTACTTTTTTCTTTATTTGAAAACCACATATAACAATTGTCTGTAGAATTCATAGATATGATTTGATGTTGTACTTCTATTATTTTCTTCTTTCTTCTGTTATGTTCTGGATGTTCTCATATCAGATTGTTCTGGATATTCCAATACTTCAGGATGTTCCAATATCAGAAGGTTCTGAATGTTCTCAATCTTCGAGTATCTGTGTTCCAACTGTAAAAGATAATACTATTTACTATGTTTACAGAATTATCTCATCAGCCTTATCCTCCAAAAAACTTCATTAAGATACAATCCTAATTTTATAATCTGATAAGATGATAAAACTTACTTTAAAATCGAATTTTATGTTTGACCTATCAGATGACTGGAATACTAAAATTATCTTAAGTTAACTTTTAAATAATAAGGTCTGTTTTAAAATTGATGTTACTGAAATATTGAGTTATATATTACTTCAAGGTTTAATCAAGAGAATATTCTATTTACAGTGGCAGTGTACCATTTGGTTGGACCTTGGCTAATTCCCTGGCTTTTAAAAGAGTTAAAGAAGGTTTAGGATTTGACCATTGTAAGATAATGTTTTCTGGAGCTGCACCTATTACTAAAGAAACTCTAGAATACTTTATGAGTTTAGATATTATGGTAGATGAAGTATATGGAATGAGTGAAAGTTCAGGTATAATATGGCTTAAGAATAATGCTAAGAATATACTACATCATATTTGGCTTGTAGTCCAAGTTGAAAGACGTTCTCTTCAAAAGCTTGGGCTCTGTGTGTTATAGGCTGTGCATCTGACAGCTGAGCTATTGGAAATCAATATATTAGGTTAATGCCTAAAACAACGTTTTGTTGAAATTTCCCTCATTACACACTGCATGGCAATAGCCCAAAAAGTCATATAATACCATTCAAAATCTTTCTATAGTCAATTTATCATGCTTGTTTGGTTATTTTGTAGGACCTCATTCATTCAGTAGACCAGGTTGTCGTAGATTTGGTAGTGTAGGTTCAGTATCACCAGGTGTTTTTACTAGAATAGATAATCCAGATGAAGAGGGTAATGGAGAGGTGATTATATTACTCTATAACTAACTGTTGTACTTATTGTGAAGATACACAGAAACACCTAGAGCAAACACCTAGAGCACAAACAATAGATATAGAATAAAATAAATTAGGAGATCTAATAATATATAAAACAACTTAACATATTTTTTGAAGCAGATGACATTATTGGTTGTCATTAAATTCTTAACTTTTAACTCAGGTATATTACAGTTAAAGTTATATTTCAGATATTAATGTATGGTCGTCATGTATTTATGGGATATTTACAACAAGAAGAGAAAACTAAAGAAGTAATGACAGATGAAGGTTGGTTACGTACTGGTGATATAGGCAGAGTTGATAAAGATGGTTTCCTCTTTATAACTGGCAGAATAAAAGGTAGGTTGCGTAGCATACGGTTCATTTATACCATAAGAACTTGAATTACTTAAATTTCATAGGATATAGTAAAGAATATAGGTCCAATACCAGTAGAAGATACTGATTGATTACTCTAATAAATTGATTGTTTTATAGAAATAATAATTACTGCTGGTGGTGAGAATATAGCTCCAGTACCAGTGGAAGATACTGATTGTTTACTCTAATAAATTGATTGTTTTATAGAAATAATAATTACTGCTGGTGGTGAGAATATAGCTCCAGTACCAGTAGAAGATACTGATTGTTTACTCTAATAAATTGATTGTTTTATAGAAATAATAATTACTGCTGGTGGTGAGAATATAGCTCCAGTACCAGTAGAAGATACTGATTATTTACTCTAATAAATTGATTGTTTTATAGAAATAATAATTACTGCTGGTGGTGAGAATATAGCTCCAGTACCAGTAGAAGATACTGATTGTTTACTCTAATAAATTGATTGTTTTATAGAAATAATAATTACTGCTGGTGGTGAGAATATAGCTCCAGTACCAGTAGAAGATACTGATTGTTTACTCTAATAAATTGATTGTTTTATAGAAATAATAATTACTGCTGGTGGTGAGAATATAGCTCCAATACCAGTAGAAGATACTGATTGTTTACTCTAATAAATTGATTGTTTTATAGAAATAATAATTACTGCTGGTGGTGAGAATATAGCTCCAGTACCAGTAGAAGATACTGATTGTTTACTCTAATAAATTGATTGTTTTATAGAAATAATAATTACTGCTGGTGGTGAGAATATAGCTCCAGTACCAGTAGAAGATACTGATTGTTTACTCTAATAAATTGATTGTTTTATAGAAATAATAATTACTGCTGGTGGTGAGAATATAGCTCCAATACCAGTAGAAGATACTGATTGATTACTCTGATAAATTGATTGTTTTATAGAAATAATAATTACTGCTGGTGGTGAGAATATAGCTCCAGTACCAGTAGAAGATACTGATTGTTTACTCTAATAAATTGATTGTTTTATAGAAATAATAATTACTGCTGGTGGTGAGAATATAGCTCCAATACCAGTAGAAGATACTGATTGTTTACTCTAATAAATTGATTGTTTTATAGAAATAATAATTACTGCTGGTGGTGATAATATAGCTCCAGTACCAGTAGA